TTTATTTAAATCTTATCACACAGAGAGAATGATTTCTTTAGATTTAATAAATTTTATTAGATTCAAAGAAATTTATTGTTTGAAATAGTCCAAACAAATCAATTATTAATTTAACAAATTCGATTGTTCGATTTTTCAAATAATAAATAGCTTTATTTTAAATAAAATATTTATTTAATTGTTTGAAAAACAATAACGCTCTTTATTTATACTTTAATAATATTAAAAAATCTCTTTCTTTCAATGAAACAATATCTAATTTAACCAACAAAGTATTATTTAGTTCAAAAATAAATTTTATTTCCTTTAAATAATGTATTAAGTAACGTAGTATATTCTAATGAAATAACAAAACTCTTAATTCAACAAATTGAATTTTAATATACAATTATGTTGTTTAAGTTAAATAAATTCAATCCAAACAAATAAAATTGCTAAATTTAAAGAAATCATTTTCTCAGTACGTGAATCAATGCGTGAGAATGACATAAAAGATTCAAAATAGATGAATGACGTGAGATTCGAGCGAGATAATAAATTTCTCGCATAATCAATATGCCAATATTAGGTAATATACACCTTTACAAATTTTAATCATAAATATAATTCAATATAATTCTAACTATTAGATATTGTATCTACATAATACGTCAAATACAATAATATAAGTAATAATAAATTTAATAAATAATGTAAAGAAATATGTGAAGAAATATGTTAACAATCCTTGTATTAAATTAGGATTAAATTAAAAATAAACTTTCAAAGATTTTACAAAATAATTATTTTAAATAAGAGCAAATTTATAATTTATAATTACCAATTTATATTCCGCGAGACAAAACATTTACTGAATCTTACGTCATATTAAATTTTGCTTTAACTTACGTAAAGCCAAATTATTAATTATATAGATGGATAGGTTAAACATGATTAGAATTAAATCGGCACGTTTGTTATATAATTTGTTATTAATGATTGCTAAAAACATTCACTTATGTTTATAATATACATTATTAAAAAATTTCTAAATTTCATATATATGCATACATCTCTTTTGTGCACCGATTTAAACATTTAATCTTGGTATTAAAATATAGGAAGAGGAAAGAC